TTTTATTGATTTTTAGTATTTAGATTTTTGCCAGGTTTTTTCATACACCTGGGAGGAAATTAACAAGAACATTTTGAAATCTTCAAAAAACTAAAAATCAATAAAAATTCGAATCTCAATGAAGAAATTTTTTTTTGAATTTTTTCTTTGTTTTTATGGGAATCTACATGGATTTTTGCACAAAATAAAGCAATAAAATTTTTCACCGCAAACCATCTTTAACTTTGTCTTATTCTTTGTATGCATTTAGGTAGACAATAACATCTCAAAGTCATTTCGAATTTCGAACAAAACCTTAATTTTCGAGCAAGCGATAGACAAGCACCCGAAAAACTGCTAATTTTCGTTTTTTTTACAGAATGTCAGATAAGTTTAAGAAAATTCCGGAAATAATTATTTCAATAATTTTTCGAATATTGTCGGTTTCAAGTAATAGTCATATATAACCGGAAAAAATTTCACTATTCATTCCCATTCTCAAATTCCGAAATTCAATTATTTTTTCAAACGAGTGTTGGGACATCAGTCAATTCAAAGCTGTTCGAAAAATGTGCAAATTTCAAAGAATAAAATTGAGAAATTTAAAGTTTTCGGGCCAAAATAAAGCACCTGCTTGACATATTTTGCTTGACATATATTCTTTCTGATTCTTGTTTTCTTTTCCTTCCCTGTAAGAACATGATTTAAGTCACTATTTTACAAGATTCCAACATTTCTTTTTTCGAAAAATTAATTTAATTGCTGTTTCAAGTATTGGTTTTCAGTTAACAAGGAAGAGTTTCAAGTCTTTATGTTCCCACAATAAAGATCACCAGCCAAAGTGATTTGAGCTCATCTAATCGTTTTTCAAAGTCTGCGCACGAGAATTTTAGTCTCCCACCATGTATTTTCAGGCCTAGCGGATTCTCATAATCCAGTCGGCTTAATGCCTCACAAAGTACCCTTGTCAGGTTCACAAACGATTATCTAAACAGTTTGTGTTACAGTAATCTATGTACTATTGACCAAACATTCAACCATACTCACCTTGAACCTTCCAAACACCGAATCCGCCATAATTGATCCAATTAGTGGAGTCAGATACGCAATGCATGTGAAGAGATGATAAATGAATGTTGCTTTACTGAAAACAATTTTTTTGGAACAATTAACATGTTAAACAAATTACCTTGGTGAAAACTCATGCTCAGTGATGAGATAGATGAACAAAATGGTTTTCATTCCATAAAACGAAAAACGCTCGCAAAACTCATTTCCGAGCATGAAAAATACCGCCGGTGGGTAGGAGCGCAGCTTTTGCAACAAACTTTTTTCCTCCATTTTTAAAGATTACTGTACTTTTTTTCAATTTGAGGTCCACCACAAAGTCAAGCAGAACCTAAAAATGGAAAATTCGAGAAGAACCGCGAAATGACGAACGGAAAATAGTAATACTATAAAAACAGAGACTGTGTCCTCGAACGTCTTTCAAATTGGCAAAAGAAACCAATAGTAAAAAAACGGGGTGATTGGTGGGATTGGGAGAAATAGTATAGAGGTCAGGAGGAGACGCAGAGAAATCGGGGGAGAGGCGGAATTAATTTTATGGTTCGGGCTAATGGACACAAATGGCATTGACCACAGGATTCTTTGGAAGTTGAGAGGAAAAAACAAAAGGGTTCGATTTTTTTGGAGAGAATTTTGAAAAAAATTGGTGAGGAAATCGTAGCAATAGAAAAAATACGGTCCAAGAATATAAAATCTATGTGAAACCGTAATAATTTTTTTTTCATGTTCAAAACTTTTAGCCGAAAAATCGAGGGTGGGCGGAGTTTAGGTCCGGTAGCGACATCCTTAAAAGATAATATATTTTCGTAATTTTTTTCTCGCCTATTTTTGTCGATTTTCCGATGAATTTTCATTGTTTCATCCCATTTTTTTGCGATTCGTCGGATTTTTATTTCTAAAATCAGCTCAAAAACAGGCCAGTAAATAATTTTAAAAATACATGTTCCTCTAAACGCGTCTTTAACGAGTTCGCTCCCGGCCTTAAGCTCCGCCCATCCTCGATTTTCCAGTGGCATTGCTCATTAAAATTAGACCAGAGTAATATTCAAAAGTGAGACTTTGAATTTACCATGATCAAGTTTTTAAAGTAAAATTTGAATATTTTTTATAGAAAATCTCAAAATTCCATGTTTTCTCTAGCCGAATTTTTTGTAAATTGAAATTACTGTTTCTCAAACATTAAATAGGCATTTTTTCAAAACTTTCATAGTATCGAAGCTGTGAAACTTCCGGAATACTGTAGCAGTCTTTCTATAAGCTGGATTTTATCTAGACTTCATGGAGAGTTTTCAAACAACCGGGAATTTTCAAAAACCTCAAAAAAATTTTTCAAAAAATTTTTAGAATACTGAAAAAACTTACATTTCCAATTTCTTTAAGGAACACTTAAAACTTCCTATTCACCCAAAAAAAAACTTCTGAAAATGGAAAAAAATGTAGAATAAAATTGAGACGATGGATGAAATTGAATTCTAAATGGTAGACAACTTCTTCTTTTCTCAAAAAGAGGTTGAAAAAGAGGCATGAGGTACTAGACTTCTCCTTCTCTCCATAAAATGAGAAGATAAACGAAGAAAAGAAGAAGGAAGGTACTCAGAAAAAATAACGAAGTAAACCATATTTTATGTTAAAGGAGGAGCCTCTTTATGAAATTGGATGATTTTTTCATATTTTTTTCTCGCTTTTTTTCTTTTTTTATTTCCTTTTTTATCTCCTTTTCCCTAGAGATGAAAAAAAGAAGGTAAACTGGGAAAGAAGGTGAAGATGGTCTAGGCGTTTTGAGCAAGGGGTAAGAGCGAAAAAAAAAGTAGAAAAAAATGATTTTTTCTAAAAATTGAGCAGTTTTTAATTATTTTTTCTTTCAGCTTGTCATTCATCGAAGAAATTTTTAATTCACACTTTTTATAAAATTCTCGAAGCAGTAATAAAAAGTTTAAACTACCGTAAACAATCAAAACAGAATGACCTCCTAGCTTTCAACTTTGCTCCTATTTATCTCGGTTCCAGTAGAAGATATCAAAAAGTTGTCAACGCACAAAATGTTTATCACAATATCAAAAACATTTTATCGTTTGACTCCTTTTGATATCTTTTACATGTTTATGGCTACGACTTCTAGTTGATCAAAAAATACAACTTTTACTCACTTTCGTGAAATTCTTGAAACAGCAACAGATTCTAGTTGTTATTCATGTCATACTGCCCTTAAAATTTCAGTTTGGATGAATTTTTTTCAGCAGAAAGATAATACCATTCTAGTTTCATGAAGGACCTTTATAAATCAAAAAATAGGAGAGAAACCAGAGAAACCGCGGGAAACATTCAATGAACTACGATAACTGCTTCAGAATATTCTTTTTTTTAATCCAAAAGAATCGTTATGATTTGGATATCGGAAGAGTTATAACTACTGAGGTGTGGGGGGCTGAAGTTGAATTGGTTGATTAAAGTATAACCCCCCCCCCACCAGTACAAAGGGGGGGCCTATACTTGAAGAACCTGGTATTCTTAAAATGTGGCCCCCACCCCTCTCTGCCTTCTTCAATTAAAGCCCCCAACCATTCAAAAATAGCCCCCCAAAAAGAGAACCTTATCTGAGCCCCCCAATTTATTCAAATATGATCCCCCACCAATTCAAAAATAGGTCCCCACCATTTTTTGGCCTAAGCCTGAATTTTAGAATGTTTTAATTTTGGAAGTTCTGATAAGATATAGCTGACAAGTATTTTTCAGAAAAAGTTCCCAAGAAACAAGGAAAAGGGTGAAAAATGACACAAATTCCAAAAAATCAAAGAAAAATTAAAAAAAGCTCAAAATTTGCATCATGATTATTTTGAATTGGGATGGACCATTTAAAAGTGGGGGTCTATATTTGAATTGGTGGGGGGCTTTTTTTGAACTGCTGCAAGTGTCTAGATTGTTGGAGGTGGGGGGCTCTACTATGGTTCATTTTGGGGGGCTATACTTGAATTGAGGTGGGGGCTATATTTGAATTCAGCCGAGAACTTTCCTAAAATACCAGACACATTGGTTTACTGTATCCACCCCCAAAACTAAAAATATCGGAAAAAATCGGGAAAATCGAAAAGCTCAACGATATATCCGCACTTTCTCTCTTTGTCTCTCCAAAAATTCTCAATCATTTTTTGTCCGTTTTTGGGAAATGTGCAAACATACTCATCTTCTTCGTCTTTTGCTCCTCTTTTTTCTTGTTTGTTATGTCCTTTAACATAAGAGACTGGGAATGAAAAAGGGCAAGAATAAGAAAAGCTCAGGGAGAGGATAAAAGGTGTGGTTTCGGGGAAAGAGCTTCATTTGGGAACGAAGAGGGAAGACTGGATTTTTGGAAGCGCCGCCCATTTTTTATGGGAGGGGGAGGAGCTAAGAAAAATATTGAGTCAGAACAGACGTTTTTGAATTGAGTTTGAAGAAAAAAGTAGATTTCACAAGGTGCATGTTTAGAATTTGAAAAATTATTTGAATCAGAAGTTTTCATACTGCCGCGTTTAAAGTTGATTTCCAGGAGTAATTTCCTGGAAAAACGTTGTCCAAAGCTGCGATTGTTTTCCAGATTTACAGCAACAGTAAACTACAGTATCACTCGTTTTTACTGTGTTCTTCCTGTTGATTCACGATTATAAAACGAAAAATTTTAGGAACTTACATTCTCATTGAAACAGAAATAGTTTTTAGAATTTTGGAACTTTGAAAACTTTTGGAACTTTGAACGTCCAAAACTCCGTATTCCGAAATTGGAAACTTTTTTTTTCTAAACTTCTGAATTTCCGATTTTCGAAATTCCCGAATTTTCGAACTGAAGAGTTCGGGAGTTTGAAAATATCAGAACTTTATAATTTCATAAATTCGTAATTTTGAAACGTCTAAGTTTCTGATTTTCTGAACTACTGAGTTTGAGAATTTGACACTTTTGGAGTTTGAAAATTTCAGAATCTAATAATTTCAGAAGTTGTTTTTCGGATATCTCAATTTCATAGCTTCTATAAAAAAACTGTTTCATGAGTCGGATATTGTAAGCAGGAACCAGGGGATTTTAGTAGACCAAAGGGGCTTTCAGAAATTTTTTGTAATTAATTTTTTTTCAAGTTAAACTGCAAATCTTTGATAAGAATATTGTAGGTACTTGCAATGAGCAGTGTTGAGCTTTTTCTGAATTAAAAAAAAATCGAAAAAATTGTCTAAAGTTCAGAAATTTAAAACCCAGGCCCACCAAGCAGTACCGAGCCCTGAAAATCTCTGGCCCGATCCAGCCAGATCGTGATTTTCAATTATGATATTGGATTCGGATTTGTGAATAAAAAAATTGTCAACTTATTAACCATGACGGTTAACCATAAAGAACCATTCCAAAATGTGACCGAGAATGAATATCAAACTATTGAAACAGTAAGAAAAAATAGTTTTTTCAGCAAAAATTCTCTGCTTCTGGGACATCAGATTCTTTCAAAAAATTAAATTTCAACATTGCATAAGGATCACATCTATTCCTCAATCTGTCATCTTGGAGAAATGACGCTTCTGAATCTCAACCCACGCTCTATTCAGAAGCATAGAAGAAGAGTCATCGTGAGAATTCGTTGAATTATGAATGAAGAGAAAAGTGACACATAATTCAAATTTAGAAGAAATTAAGAATGAAGAAAGTTCTCATGAGGTTGGGAGAGATCGGAAGTGTTCCCGGATTTTCAGAAATTCGGAAAATTATGAGCCAAAAATAAAGAATTCTGTTTCAAATTGAACTTAAATTCATAAAGTTTTGAATTTTTTGATAATAGTCCGGTTTTAGGTTTGTTCGAACTAGCTTATTTCAATTTTCAAAAAAAAAACCTTTTCAGACTGTACAAAAAGGGAAAGTAAAGAACAATATTTAATTTTCTAGAGTCTTCTAGAACACACACCCCTACACAAATTCAATTAAACAGAGAGACAGTGCCCACAGGGCAAATTGTATATGGCAAAAACAATTATATTCGATTTTTAGGGAGAAAGAAAAGCATGTTACTCTCCTTTTTGTCTTACTGTACGAACAAAAAATTAATTTCCAGTGAAAAATTGCAAAAATATGAAGAAAATTGGGAAAATTGGGAAGAAGAAGAAATGGAGAATTCGAAATTGGTACGGTTGATTAGGTCCACTTTTTCGGTGTTGCTACTGCATTACAAAATGTACTGTTTCGCCAAAAAATGAGAAAAAAAGATGAGAAATTCAGGGTCAAGGTTTTGGGAAAAATGAAGGAGATGAGAGGAGGTGGAATA